CCACAAACAGTCAAGGACAAATTACATTTAATTTAATTTCGAGCTCCATCCTACATCCCCCCTCCCCGATCGCCCAGCGCCAGCGCCAGCGCCAGTCTCAGTTTCAGTTTGCAGTTCTTGTGCGAGCTATCGACCGAGTCCTCCATCTACCTGACACTCTCGATTCCTCCGATGGCTCTGGGGGCGGCCCATTGAAGCATTTAGCCATCCATCAGTCGGCTGGCTGTGTCCTGTGATGTCCTGTCGTGTCCTACAAGCGGCCACGGCCCACATAACTGATGATGAAGTTGCTCACTCAAGCGCCAACAGCCACGCCCCATGAAAATTCATTCGCTCAGTCAATCCCATTGATTCCATTCCAATCCAGCCACCCCCTCCCCCCCTCCTACCCCACACATTGTGGGCATGGAGAAGATCCAAGCTGGCAGGACATTTAATTTATTAAAGAATTTGTAAAGCAATAAGTTTGTATCCCATTGCCCATCCGGTGTTCAATGCTGTCTCCTATCCCATCCCATCCCATCCCATCCCATCCCATCCCATCCCATCCTGTCCACACTCCTGTCGTCTGTCCTGTCCCTAGATCCATTCCGTCTCGTAGTTCCTTTCCGTACCGTTCTATTCCATCGCAGGACACCCAGGAGTCGATAATCGTTTTCATTAAGCCGAACGACAGGGGGCGACACGGCGGCTTAATTGCTCCATCTGCCCCACCGCTCCACCGCTCCACCATCGCACCATCCGCCCATCACTCAAATGGACAGTCGCACTAAGCGACACTTTTTAATTAAAACGTAAAAACGGGTGGCTGGGACGGGGAATGGCAAATCTTCCCCAGACTTTGGCCTCGTCCTTTGGCTTTGGCTCGAGGACTCTGATGAGCAAACTGAACTCCAGACGGGACGAGACGAGACGAGACGCGACGAGATGAGACTTGGGACTCAAGACCACAAAAATTCAATCAAATCGCAGCGCATTTGCTTGAACATCTTCCGTTCCCCCCTTCCACCTCCACCACCAAGAAGTCTCCCTCTCGGTGGCCCCCTTGTAGCCCCCTGGTACGAGTAGCATCTCCTTCCTGGAGAGAGCATCATTAACCGGAACGTAAGGAGAGAGATTCGCTTACGTTGCATGGGGGAGTGGGAGGGGGGGGGGGAGGCTCCATGGATGAGGTTCGACTCGTGTCCTTCTCCTGACTTTGGCTTTGGTTAAAGTTTTCCCTTTCGCCCTGCCACTGCCACTGGCATTAGCGTAAGGCAAGCCACGTTACGTAATTAGTTGACGTAAGGTCTGATGTACACTGAAGGAAACGGGAAGTACGAACTATCTGTTACCAGAGGGCTCTTTGAGTCCAGTGACTGCTCAACTGTAGGGCAGCAGCAGCTTCCTTTTGCATTCAACGATAAATCGTTCTTAAAACGACACCTCATTTAGGTAATCCCCAATCAAACTTCATTCAATATTTAAAGAATATCTTTGCTTATTCAATGCAGGCTTTCCTCTAGACTCCAATGTTTGTTCAGTGTATCTTAGATGCCCCTGAAAGAGGATGCTCACTTATCAAAAGCTTATTCAATTAAAAACCCTCGTACTGCATCCATTGCTTCCATTATGAGGTTGCATAAGATTTGTTCTGTTGTTCCCTCCGACATCCCACCTCCCACCTCCCATTTGCTCTGCTCTGCTCTGCATCTTCGGTCCACAACAATCCAATCAAATGGCAGCGCATCACCGGGGCATAAACAGCAAGAGTCCCCATCCCCTATCCCCCGTTCCCCCGTTCCCGGTGGAAAACCACTTGCTATCCAATCTCTTGGCCAGGGATCATTAGGCAACATTCAGCAAAGGGGTTGAGCTTTGCATCTTCTACGGAACGGTGTGGGTTTCAGCTGTGGGAGGGGTGTTTGTTGCTGGGAGTCGGGGGGCTGTTGGGGGGGGGGGTTGATGGGTATCGTATCATCGCCTCACCTTCATGTTGCGGCTGCTCATTTGCGTAATGCACAAATTTAATTTACCAAAACGCGGCAGAGAAAAAGATGCTGTTTTGCCAGTGGCCGCCGTCCACCCTTCTACCCTGCTAACACTTTTTCCCCTCACCATCTTTTCCCCCCCTTCTTAACCTTATTTCTTGCGTTTAAACCCTCTTCTTCTCTTCTCTCCTCTTCTGCTCTTCTGCTCTTCTGCGTGCGCTCTCCCGCTGAACTTTCTCCACGGAACATCAACGAAGGAACGCGCTTACCCGCAACGCATTCTGTGCGGTCCGGAGTGCCCGCTGACCTCTGTTCTCCCCTCTCCCTGTTCATTCCCCCTCAGACCCCTCTCGCCCCCTGTTGGCCACACAATTTACGGGGGAAAAGCTTACGTTAATTGTGTGTATCCTCCTCCAGCAGCGTGGCAAGTGGCTGCGCCTGGGCTTGGGCCTCGTCTTGGCTCCTCCTCAGCGAAGGCGGAGGGCGGAGGGCGGAAGGCGGAGGGAGGAGGCCTTGGCGAGCCCGAAACGGGGGGGAAAGATGAGAGAACAGCACAGGGAGCAGGAGTGGAAGACAGGAAGGACTGCCAGGGCGCTGCCAGGGCGCTCATTTTAATCAATTTTTAATTTAAATTTAATAGAGTAACACGCTTGGTGGGATGGTTAAGAAGAGCGTGGGGGGCATGGGGCGTTCGGCGTTCGGCGTGCGGCGTGCGGCGTGTGGCATTGGGCGCTCTGTGTGGCAAATTGACTGGGTCTCCATGTTGCCAGGTCATAAGGGAGGACGACGATTGGGGCTGGCACAGGGTGCAGCCGCTCCACGCCGCTTCTGTCGCAGCACATTGGTGTCATTTTACACGCATTCCTAGGTAAATAATCTTCAGAGCGTCACTAATGCGATGACTTTGTGGCGCCCCTCGCCCAGCTGAACCCCAGCAGAGAGAGAGGGAGAGAGGGAGAGAAAGAGTGTATTGAGGATTGGGGATTGGGGATTGAGGAGGGGTGCGGCAATGTAAATTTGCGCGTCATTTCAGTCGGCGAACTCTCACTGAAAGCCACAGAGCCCACAGCCCACAGAGCTGTAGCTGTAGCTGTCGCTGTTGCCAATGTGGGTTAAGGTGTCACAGAGCACGAAACGATATTTAAAGGATTAAGTGATTTCCCTGAAAATTAACACAATCGTGGGGGTAAGTGTGGGGGTGGGGGTGGTGTTGGTGTGGGCTTCCAAGGTGAGCATCGATTCGGCCTTCGGGTTGCCACAGCGTTTACGGGTGGCGATTTCTCGGGTGGGTGGCGGCTCGGTGGCAAATTGCGTGTTATTTTGACCATTATGTTTCCCTGGCAAGGAGGAGGCAAGGCAACGCAAGGCAACGCAAGGCAAGGGCTGGGACGTGGCATGGGGCTTAATGTAATTCAATTTATGGGCTCGCACAGACCCTCGCCCCCTTGCCCTCTGCTGCAGTACGCCGTACCCGAGGCTGGACTCTGGACTCTGGACTCTGGACGCCTGCCCGTGGCCTGTCAATTGGTTATTTATGCGAGCTTTTTAGATTTTGGCGGTTAATTAAAGCACATTATGCCTTAATTGCTAGATTAAAATGCCTTTTTGCCAGAGAGAGATGCGAGATGGAGAGCTGGAGTGGCGTGTGGTGTGCGGGGTGTGCGGGGTGTGCGGGGCGTGCGGCGTGGTTCAGGTCCCGACCTTTTCTCGCTTTTGTTAGTTGCTTTTTAATGACTCGAAATTAGTCGCAAATTGGAAGTCCAGGCCCAGGAAAAGGTCGGGATACACACACTCTCTCTCTCTCTCAGGCAGTCTGTTCTTCTGTGTATTTTTTGGGCACATGTGGGAGATGAGTAGGGCATTGTATTCCCACTTGATTACCCCAAACAATGCATTCCCTGAGGGGGGACTCCGAATCGGACTTTGAGTGCCCAATGCAGCTGTCATTTGTCAGGCCACCTTTTGATGAAATGGAAATGGAAATCGAAGTGGAAGTGCTACCAGGGGTAGCTATTGGCCATGGGATGTACGCCTAAAACTGCATTTGTCCACTTTGATTGTCATAATTTCATTTCTTTGTGTTCGTGTGTCAGTGGGTGTCCTGCCTGGCAGTGTGTACGTGACAATGGCAGAAAGTCAGACAGGATGGCAGACAGCAGCAGCAGCAGATGAAGGCCGTGCCCCTGCCTCCTGTCAGAACAGGCAACAGCCGAGAGCCGAGAGCCAAGAGCCGAGAGCCGAGAGCCGGCGTATAATGATATTAGTCCCCGACTAATGTATGCAAGCTCCTCTAATAAGCGCACTGCACATTATTAGTTATTAATTAGTCAGGTGAATTGGCCCTCACGAGGGTCCTCGTCCTCGTCCCCTCTCTTCACTCTCCTGTAATGCATGCAGGACCTATGGTGTGTGTGTGTGTGTGTGTGTGTGTGTTTGTGGATGGAGCCCTGTCAGGGCTTGTCCCGTGGGAAAGTGTGCCCAGGCTTTTGCTGCAAAAGCCAACCGCATTGAACTATGACTACAATGGCCGGCAGCAGTGAAGGGGCCTTCCCCTGTTTTTAATTCCCTGTTTTTTTTTTTTGGGGCCCTGTTTGCTGGCTGTGCTGCCGCTCGTTTGTACAACATGCTGAATACTGAATATTGAATTATTAGAAATGAGCTAATTGAAAAACTCAGTTCGCACACACGTTGGGACACACCCAACGACGTAATTCATCACGTAACGTGTGATGTAAATTGACAGGTAACACGTCGAGGGGCCGGTGCCACCAGCACCCACCGGCACCATCAACCATCGACTATCGAGCAAGCTGCGAAATGCGAGATATGTGCGAAATCCATTCACCGAAAAGGGTTAGAACAGGGATGGAAATTAGCAGGGGGAGGGGGGAGTAGAGTGGGCAGCTTTGTATACGTCCACAAATTATATAGGTACTGGCTGGCGAGGATGAAGGACCATCCAAGAGACTCCAAACTACAATATTCGCAGCTGAATTCTGTGATTCCCGATATCGGAATACCCCAAAGAGCTGGATTGGCAATCATTTATTATGGGAAAAAGAGTCCACACAGTAGATGCTATCAAATTAGAAATAGTTCGGACTATCCCTGCAGTTCTCGTAAGAGATATAACTAAAATTCTTGCATTTGAGATGTTTGGCAGTGCCTGCAATCACATTGTGCACATCCGACAGCCCAAGGTTGGGTGTCTGGCGGGATTTGATCAGAGTGGAGATGACTTTCTTCTTGCTGGCAGGCTTGAAGGGCATCCAACTCTTAATGCCGGTCCTCTTGGCCTCCTCGCGCAGCTTGGCCGTGAGATCCTTGTAGCTGAGGACCCCGCTTGTTGTCTGGACTTGGGTCTTAATCATCTTCTTGAGCGTATCGAAAGTTTGACAGCAACAGCGACAGTGACAGTAATAATAATGATAAGTATTTGCCTTGCGCTTCGTTGCCTTGGCCTCCAAAAGGAGGCCATGAATCTCATCAGGAGTCTCGGCTGGTGCCCCTTCTGCTGGTGGGGGTACTGCGGTTGACGAAATACTAATTTGAATCATCATTGGAGTCTTGGATGCCGCCTCTTCTGCTGGTTTTGTGTCCGTTAACAGTAGCATTCCTGTCTTGCCGTCTTGGTCCTGACAGTCCATGGCCTGGCGATCTTCATTTAACGAGTTCTGAATGTCCTGAATGGCCTGTGAATACATTTTCTGAAGTAGTCTTTCTTTCCAAAGAGCCGCATTAATCTTCTGCGGTGTACCCACGTGCTTTATGTCCGTGAAAATTGAAATTTCGAAACCTATAGAAACCTCAGGTTTGAAATGTATTCAAAATGCAAATGTTTCTACTGAGACTTGCCCTGTGTTTCCTTGTCAGGCTTGCCCTGGATAGTCTCGTCCTCTGAATCTATATCCATCGGCATCGTGATTTGAGCCTGAAGAGTGGCCGTCTTGCCTGCGCCTGGGCCTGGGCCTGGGCCAATATTCAGTATGTCCTGGATACATTCGTGTTGATCATTGTCTTCCTTCTGTTCAATATCTTGATTATTGTTGTTGTCACGTTTGGCCTGCTGCATCTCCTTGCACGGAGGCACAATGGCCATCTTTTTGGGACAGGGCGATGGGGGTAGTGAGGGATTCTCCTGTGGAATAGCCGCCGAGCTCATTCCACTGAAAGCCAAACGAATGGTTTGTAAGTGAATATAAATATTATATTTTGTAGCGAAACGTACACTGTGATTGGAGAAATTTGAGCTCGACAAATTTGGTTTATGAATTTACAACAAATACTTTAAAGAGTTATTTTACAAAATATATAATTTTATTGGGATATAGCGCGTGAACGATGTGAGCGATATGAAAAATTCAATAGAACTGAGGAATGAACACGACCGGCGAGTGGATTGTGACACCGGAACTTCTGCCTACTTGATTGAATGATTAAAGGACTTGTTTGCCAGCTTTCAATAGTTAGATATGCATTTGGCATAAAGAGTGCACTGAAATACGTAACCAACAACACGTTGTTAACGGTTTTAACGTGATCTAATCATCCCTGGGGCACACGGGCATTTACGGATTGCCCCCCTCTCTTTGTTTCTCTCACTTCTCAATCTCTCAAAAGCTCTCTCTCTCTCTCCCCTCCTTCCGGTTGTTATGCAAGGCAATCAAGGAAATCCCTTCCCTTCCCTTGCCTTTCCTCCGCTGCCCTCTCTCGTCAGGTGCAATTTTGTTATTCCGCTTTCAGCTGATTACGTAACGTAAGCCGTGTCGTAAACTATTTCCCATCTTACTTTGTTTCCGCTCCACCGTGGGAGGTGTGGCTTTCGTTGGCATCCAGTACCAGTACAGTGGAACCTCTCCTGACCATGAGAGATATCACTGTAGGGCTATGTACACTCGTATCTGGAAAGTTCTTTACGAATTCTATGCCAAAGTTATAATGACCTTTTGGTGTCCAGCCAGCCGGAGTCTGGGTTCAAACAGAGCTGAGGTCGAAGAAGCGACAGAAACGACAGAGGCGACAGCGGGAGAGCGCAGTCCCCAGCCGAAATCCATTTTCTAAACCAATCCGAAAACCCAATCCCCATCCCAATTCCATTCTCGATTCCATTCGGAATCGCTGTTGCAGCTTAGCGCGTAATTTTCTATGAATGCAACCGCCAAGCGGCGCTGGACCACAGGCGGTCCACAAAACGAGACGAGACCGTGCCACATGTATGGTAAATTAACACCCCACCCCCACCACCTCCACCTACCCTCTCTCTGGGGCAGCAGGAGCAGGGACACCCCCCTTGGTGGTGGTGGTGGTGGTGCACCCAACAAAAGTCAGGCCATGGCCGACCATTGCCGAGCTGCAACTGTCGCATATTGAAACGTTAATCGCATTGCTCCTTGCAGGGCTGCAGGATGGACAGCACAGACTCCGGGTCCGGCTCCGGCTCCGACTCCGACTCCGGCTCGGGCTTGGACTTTTGGGTTGAGTGTTGGCGAGAGGGGAGGATGTGGATGGGTGGTGCTGGAGGAGCAAAGGCCGTCATATTTAGTTTTCCTTGACGCTCACAGCTCACAGCTCACACAGCTGGATGTCCTTACAGCAATCCTCCTCGGCTTTGCCTCCTCCTTCCCTGGAATGGTGGTCGTTCTCGTTCTCGTTCTCATCCTCGTCATCGGTCTGGTCTGCTCCATTCCGTTCCGTACCATCCCCGCCCCAAAAGCAACGTTTGCGATGATTACTTTTGGTGGTTGTTGACTGTGGCGAGTAGCGTCCACCCACTTGCCACACCCCCTTCCGGAGACCGCTCCTGCTTTTTGCAACGCCCCTTTGTTGTTCGCCGTGTGGTCAATGACATTTGCTTGGGAGTAGCATCAGAAGCAGCAGCGAAGAAGCAGCGAAAAATCAATGCAACAGCGACACTGCCCCCAGCCCTAACCCCACCTGCACCTCCCTACGTCCCTTCCTCTCTGGGTCTCTTACTCTCTTCTTCACTGTGATTGCCAGCATCTGCTGCAGAAGAAACAGGAAAAAGAAGAGCGTTTTTCCACCTGCCAGGCAACAAATTGTTGGCTGGAGGCCGATGCTGAAGCCCCACTTGAGCTAGAAAACATATTTTACAATTATCATAAATTTCGTTGGCGTACTTTTTTAGCACGGACAATTTATAGGCGTAGTTGTTTCGATAATTGGATGGTGTTTTTTCGGAAGGAGAGAACATGAACAAGGACAAGGACTGTAACAGACCCAAAGAAGGGATGGATGCCGAGCACTAGAGACGGGATGGAATGATTTTTTATATAAACATCGATTGGCAAACTATTGTAAGGCCATCTACTGCCTTTTGCTCTTAAGTACCCTTCTGCCCTCGGGCCCAAGGAAGCGATGCTGAACGCTACAAATCGCTGAATTTTACGCTGGAATATAAATTAAGCACCAATTGGCATGTTTATTGATCTGTTTTTGTAGACATCTTTCTGCAAATGTCAGAGGATTCCATCCAGTATTCATATTCGTTTTCTGCCAATTCTGAAATGGGCCACAAAACTTCTTTTGGGTCGCCAGTTCTTGCCCAGATCTCTGAAGCTATGTTATATCTTCTTCAGCATACAATCAAATCCACATCAAATAGAGTAATTGTTTTGTAAGGAGCTTTGACACAGCTGTAAAGTGTTTTCGAACTAATGTCACATGTAAATTCCGCATCAAATTCCATCTTAATAGAACCAACCTCTCTTGACTGAAGGCCCCACTGAATTTCCCACTCAATACCTCTCTTGGCCATACCCTCGTGCCCCTTTTCATTAGCACCCAGAAGGAAAAAGTGCCTACATTTGGGTATGCATATAATCCGCACAAGTGCTATTCATTTGATAGCTGTCAAGCCTCAGGCATTGGTGTTCCTGCGAAATTTGACAATTGGAAACCACTTGGAGCTCATATCCCATGAATTCCATGTTACATTCCAACCAAATCGAATACGCTGCTGCTGCTGCTGCTGATGCCACAAGCAAATCAAATTCCAGGCATTGACCAAAGGCTTTCTCGCACTTGTCTCCCGTTGAGGAGTGAGAGCTGAGAGCTGAGAAATGCGGGATTGCGGTAGCAACAAGTTCTCCAATTAACCGCATGCCTCGCATTCTTACCTGAGCTACGGCCGTGCTCTGACGGCAACGGCTGCTGGCAGGCAAATCGTGGCGCGTTAATTGCCTTTCATAATTGACCAAAAAGGACTCCCAAGGAGGGGGCAAGGCAGACAAATAGAGAGCGAGAGAGAGACGAAACCGCAGTCGTTTCCCATTGCTGACCGCAGTCGAAGAGCTATGGGGCCATCTGCCACCCAATGGCAGTGCCGTGCCAATTGCAGCACTGCTGATAATTCTTGCGGACATTTTTCGCATTGCCTGGTAACAGGACACATGAGAGAGGAGCGTGGGGCAGGAGAGAGGAGAGAGGAGAAAGGGGAAAGGAGTCAGAGCCAGAGCCAGGCACTGGCCAAGATGACAACATCGATGTTGATGCATCCAATTAGGCGAGCAATTACCAAGGACCAACAGCCCAAAGGAGACACACACAGAGAGGAGAGAGAGGAGAGAGTGTGCCTGCAAGTCATACTCGCATTGGTCTCTGGTCTTTGGTATCCCATCTCTGGCCTCCGCTTTGGTCTCCGCTCTGGCCTCCATTCCTGGCCGGGGGCATCAGGTGACTGTCAAGTGGATGGACTGGGAGGCGACGGAGCGAGGGATCTCGTCTTTCGCTAATGAGGGGACATGTTCGCTGGTGGAATACCCTAACCCTAATCACGGAGAGAGTCGGTCCAACAGTCTGGTCGGAGGCCTTTGGGATCAGCAGAGAGCCTCTCTTCCGATATAAAGAGAGAGTCCAGTCCGAACTTTTTCCTCCATTCCAATCCATTTACTGTTCCAGAAAGTTTCTTTTATTCGTGGTAATTAGCTTTCACGGCCCACCACTCCTCTGCCATCGTCATAGCCATGGCCATCGTCCTGCCTCCTGCCTCCTGCCTCCTGCGTCCTACGGCCCGCGCTCTGCCTTCTGTCATTTAAAGCGATATTTATCATCGTTGTCTACTTTTAGGCTCATTTGCATTTGCATTTGACAGAGTGTCCGGACTACGGACTCCGGACTACGGACTACGGACTCCGGACTACGGAGAGCGGCGAGCGGGACAGGACAGTCAAGACTGGTTGGCCGCACTGGGTCGAGCGAGGCGTGTCGCCCGTCCGATAAGTTGGCCCTGTTTTTATGGCTTCCAAAGCGTCGGGTGCCGGTCCTCGGTCCTCGGTCCTCGGTCGCCGGGTGGAAAGTTGTTTGTGGCCCTTGGCGCTTTTCATTTCATTTCATCAATTAACCAGAAGGCAGCAAAAATGTGTGTGTTTTGCCCTCTAATTAGCATCCACATAAACAGAGCACAAATCCTATTAGCACCCGCATTCACATCCTGCCCCGCTGTACGCCGTACGCTGTCCCTGCCCCTCTGCACACTGCGCACCTCACCTCCCCTTCTACCACATGGAGTGTTGTAAAAAACCATAAATACTTTGGGCAAAAGGACATCGAGTGGCCAGGCCATCGTAGCTCATTAGCAACTGTAGCTGGAGCTGGCGGTGTAGGTGGGCATTAAAAATTAGAACATATTCCGTTGTGGGTCTTGGGTAAAGGATCCCTAGAGAACATCCTTTGCTCATCCAGTAGTATTGAAGCGGACACTTTATGGAGCTTCAGGAAATGCAACTAAATTCTCAAAATTGCGTCTAACATTCTTACAGAACAATGGTTCTTAAGGGTTCTACACAGTCTTCTGAACTGCTTGATTTTTATAAATATTTGGTCACCGAATATGAGTAAAGCCTTTTACTTGAGATTGCCAAAAAAGACAAGTCCTGCTTGGCAGGACAAATCATTTTACGGAACCGTTTGAAATGGTTCCTTCCTTATTTTGTATACTATTTTGAAGAGATAATTCCTCGAACTTAGTTCCAGACTGATCGGGAACTATGACTATAGAGAAAGGAGGCTGGTGGCTTCTTCTTTTTGAGACGTGTTCCCTAAGCATTAAGGGGTTAAGGCCTAGCACTCTTAGTCCTCTTATTCGCAATGAATAGGTTACAAACAATAACGTACATATTTTCTGATTAGCAGCCAGCTCTTATAGGTAGCAATATATGACAATATAGACAGAAATTCTTATTTACTTTAAGACTCAAGCATTTTCACTTTCTTAAATCCAAAATTCAGGGCGATGCCAGCTGATTTCTTACGAAATTAAGTTGGTTGCGCTTCTGCATTTCGTGAAATGCATTTCGGGGGGTGGCAACTCTTTCTTTTCCTTAAAAGTGTCTAAAATTTGGTAAATGCGAAATCTAGTTTTCTGCCAAAACTTATTCAACATAATCCCAGTCACAAAAAGGTATTGAACATATCGCACACATCTTGCTGCTCTTATTTCATAAGCAGAAATAATTTTTCGAGAAAAAAAGAATACAAGAATACAAAGAAAGGATGTTTCAGCAAAAGCAAGTAAAGGACTGGGAAGTAACACCACGCAGAACTACCGCGTAAGTATACAACTTTGACTCGATTACAGCCAATACAAACCCGTGTTCAATCGCTGATTTTTCTCTCAGTCTTAACCTTGGCAATACCAAAATCGCTGAGCAATTGGAGGCTTTCAAGAAACACACCGCCGAGGTGGAAAAGGCGAATGGACAATGTTGCAAGAAATTTATCCGACTAAAGAACAAAGATCGCTTGGTGGACGTGGCTATGATCCACATCGAGAGTAGTCGTTCCACCATTGTGAACGTGGATGGGGTGCGCTTCCTGTGCCACGACGCGGTTCTTTCGTTTTTTTCGAAGCGTTTGACGGAGCAAATGCGGAAGGGATGCCTGTACTTCGAGACCCCAGAGCTGGCATCTCGTGCATTCGATAAAATATACCGCTGGATGCATGGGGAGTGCAGCGTTGTGCAGAGCTTCGATCTTGCAATGCTCAGAGGGGCTCGATTCCTGGCCATTCCCGAATTGCTCGAGCAGATGTGGAAGCTGCTGGAGAAAAAGAACCCGACTGAGTACGATGCATTCGAGATGCTCTGCAAGTCGCGCAAAGTGCACGAGATCGAGGAGCTGCATGGAATGATGGTGGATCGCATTACCAAGTCCACGCTGGTCATCTTCTCCTCCAAGCAGTTCCTGCGGCTGAGTGAGACTCAAGTGTCGCTTCTTCTGAAGTCGGATCGTTTGGCAGTCAACTCCGAAATTGAAGTGAGTGTCCCAGAATCGGTTCCCATTTGGACAACATTCAACATTTCATTGATTGCATATCCAAATAGGTTTTGTACAGTGGCTTGTGCTGGCTGCGATACAAGTGGCCCTTGCGTCGTGGCAGCGTTGGCAAGGTCCTCAATAGCGTCCGCTATGGGTTTCTCTCCATACTCATGCTGCAGAAGGTCTCGCTGGCGGATCGCCCGCAGACCGGTCCGTTCGGAGATATCCTGGATGTGTTCCTACAGCTGCCCGAGTCCAAGAAGATCCTAGCTGATGCCCTGATCTACAGCAGCCTTCTAGCAACCACTGTAATGGAGCCGCACTGTCTGAAGGATAGGCTTGCCACCACCGGAATACAGCTTCTTTCCTCTCGCCGCTGGATGATCGATACGCGCTGCGAATACCATCGCCCTGTCTCCGCGACCATACCGAACATGTCCTTTGTGTCGTGGGATGAGTTCAAAAACTACATGTTTATGCTGCAGACTGAGAAGACCAATATCGAAGACTTTCGTTGCGTGGATGAACTGAAGCGCCATATCTGTCCGGGTTCGGAAAGCGATCCGTCGGTTGCAGAGCTGGAGCCCTATGGCTCCACATCTTCGCAGACTTCGCTGCTGTCGGAGGACACGGACCATGGATCCACCACCATTGTGGCAAGCAGCTTCAAGGACTCGTCATCAGCATCGGAGAGCGTCCTGACCTACACCGAGGATACTGAAGGGTCCTTCTCGGATGAGTAGGATTCTCGTCGCATACCACTGACGGGCCCTCGGCTGGAGACTTTCCCAAGGCCACAACCAAAAGGAAAATAGTCCTTAAATACCTATTTGTTATCATTCCCAAATATCATCATATTAACCATCTGTCGTCCGTTTGTCCACTTCGATATGAAAATTCAAATTCAATTGCTAATAAAGCGTCAAATAATCAATGGGATAATGGTATTCCAAGGGCTTTTGATTCGATTGAATATGCTTCCACAAAATACATGCCTGGCCACTTGAATAGGACTCTCCATTCAGTCAGCTAGTACATTATTTATTTACCTGCACTTTTTACGATGTACGACGTACGTGCCTCGCAGGGGCATACAATACCGGCCGAGACCCTCTCTGGCCACAAACTGCTATGCCGCGATCCCCTCCTCTTATCACGCCACAAAGAGTTAATAAGCTATTTTATTCATTTACTTTATTTAACTCTTCCTTTCATTTAAGCAGGTCGCCCCTCCGGTGCCCAGGAACTCCTCTTGCGTGCCCGCGGACACCGATATGCCCATCATCGTTTACCAGAGGCTTCACCCTTCTGGTCTTCCGGTTCATACGAGCGAGTATGCGTTCGATGAGGGCTGTCCACTTAAGGCGCCTGGCCGGTTGATATCGCGAATTCCCCGCCGGCTCCGGTGCCGTGTGTCCCCCGGGATTTGGTTCCTGTCGCGCGATGCTGTGGCCTTTGGCGTGGGCGACCACTGCCATGGCCCTCTTCCTTGTCTCTCACGCTGTTTTCTCTGCCGTTCCAGTCCGCCCGCTGTCGGCACCTCTTCCGCAGGTAATGTATGCATCCTTCGACCTGGCCATCGACAACAAGGACTTTGACTATGGCAGCCAAGGGAGCGGCTACGCGGGCTACCAGACTCTAGATAGATCTCGTTGTTGTTAGGTTTAAGATAGATTTATTTATACTAAGCTATGTTTCCATGAATAAAACTATTGAAGAATCATCCTTGCAAAGAATCGGGGGGATATGACTGGCTGGGGTGGTCTGAGTCCTTGCCAAAGGATCAGGGATATTTTTCCAATTACAAGAACCTATGTCTGGCTGCGATAGGACTGGGTCTGTTTCGAGTACGCCTCGGATTGCTTGAATCGTCTGGAGGGGGACATCGGATTTGACTCGGTGTGAAGTCCTCTGTGAAGGAAGACATTTTTTAAAATATGTCCAAAATTATATACTGATTCACTTACGCGTCTCGAGGCTAAAGCCCACCGTTTTATCCATTCGATTGGCATCTGCCTTCACGATCATGAAAAGGCATGCCACGGTGCTCAGATCGACCCTTGTACCGACCGTTCTTTAATGATTGGCAGACCCACAAAGGATGCTTCGTAATTTGTATATTTTACCATCGCCAAATTTTCAGTAAAATTCCATACAATTTCCCTTAAAATGTTTCAAACTGGCAGCTTCGCCCAGCAACGAAAGATACTGCAAATTATTGAATTCTTCCCTGAGAAATGCTGTTTTATTCCGCCGTTTAAGGCTCGTGCTCGTCTTTCTAGAACCATTCTTTTCGATGACAATGGCACTTTTGCTCAATAATTGCTGCATAACTCAGTTCTGTGCGGCTTTGAGACTCGCCTCCCTCTCACGCCTGTTGCCATTGCGATTCCACTGCCCTTAAGTGGTTGAAGTAGGGGGCGGCCGGGGCCGGGGCCGGGGCCTTTGTCAATGTGGAGTTCATTTGCGAGTTCCTCTCTGGCTTTATCTGCACTCCAGGCCGGGTGTCCATTAAGCCCATGGCCTCTTCAACCAGTCCCCGAATGCTGATCCCTGCTCCAGTTCCCTGCTCCCTGCTCCCAGCTCCCAGCTCCCAGCTCCCGGTTTAATTTCCACTTTCACATCCCACATCCCACATTCAGTTCCAGTTACGCATCCCGGCCACAATCCACAATCCACTGGCCCCATGTTTGTTCTGCCTTGAGCTGTCCCTGTCCCTGTCCCTGTTCCTGTTCCTGTTCCTGTCCCTGCCCTCCATCCATTCTCATCTCCATCCACTCCATATCCGTAGCACCTGGCGACTACCCGGGCTGCCCCCCGTGTGTGCGTATCTAAATGTATCCATATGCCCGAGATACGGGATACCAAAGCCAATTACCTGACGCTCCTCTCCGCCGCCTCTGCCGCCCGTCTGCCCCAGCAATCGGGCAGCACTCGGGCAGCACTCGGGCAGCACTCGGGCAGCACTCGGGCACTCGGGGACGGGAGATGTCTCCTGTCTGGGCCTGCGGCTGCTCGGGGAAATACAAAACTGGCTGTCTCCGTGGGCCATGCGACAAATACAAATTTGACTTTTATGCTTTTGAGAATTGCCAGTGACACAGATACAGATACGCACACGGACAGGGGGAACAGTGGGACAGAGGCCACAGATAGAGATACAAATACACACACAGACACAGATGCAGAACACACACGCACACCCTCGACAGTTATGCAATTACAACAGGTACAAAAAAACACAAAAAAAACACAAAAAAAAACACAAAAAAAAACACAAAAAAAAAAGAGAAAAAAAGGAAACAAACGAGGCACTTGATGCGACGCATTCTGCCTGCCCCCCCAATGATGATGATGATGATCATCATCATGATTCCTGCCTCCGCTGCCTCCGGTGCGGCTGATGATGATGATAGAGTGTAGCAATACACTGAGGGAAAACTTCATCTGTCCGTGGGGAGACACGACTCTCGCTGTCCAGTAAAACTGAAATGGACCCCCGACAAACACACAACAGCAAAAGCAACAGCACAATGTGGATGCGAGGCAAATTGTTTGCCGGGTAATGCGAGAACTTTTTCGAGGGGTAAATAAGTGGATGGCCCTCGGCTGGGAGCAGCGGCAGCAGAGCCACCCACTCGGCTGTGTGTGGCAGGGGCATGCGTTCGGCTCTGATGTTGGTCAAAAGCAGAGAATTAAAATTCAAATTCCAATTCATCAAGATAATCGCATTTCAGAACTTTTATTTGCCCAAAAGCGCGCACAGAAGTCACATGTGTGTGGGGTAGATGGATCAAGTGCGTCCATGTCCATGTCCCTGCGCCTCCCCCTCTGTGGCACACACACACACATACACACACTCGCATACTCGTGCCCCATCTGTGTCCATCTGTGTGTGTGCGTGTATGCTTAATTGTGCTGGTGTTCGGTTTTGTTTGTGTAGTCCTGGCAGCGGATGTTGTAAATATTTGCAAATAGCCGTCACAGTTCCCAAACCGAAGCCCGCTCCCACAGTTGCCAGTAGCCCCTGACCCGTGACCCCACCACTCAACCCGACCTGACCCTTTGCACCAGGCACCAGGCACCAGGCACCAGTCCGCGTCAGAGTCCGAGTCCCAACATCCAGCTCTAGTGCCCCTCTCGCCGCTCACTTTCAGCGGTCAGCGTTGGAGTGCAAAAAAGGGGGTTTTTAGGGCCAATTATTATTAATTGCTTTACAGATACAGAACAACCGACTCGCCAAACCCCAGCGAAAAACAACAACAAAATCAACAACAGCGGGGGAAAAGGACGAGAATCCGAATCAGAGAATCGTTGCAGGCGCCGAGGCCTGGGATACCCCTGGAGACCGATCGTTTAGAGAACAGATACTCCAGATATTCTCCATTCTAGATACGGACAGATAGTTAAAGAACAATTAAACGGGCTTGAAGTCTGTCTATCGATCTCATAGTATACTCACCTGTAAGACAAATGCAAAGCCAAGTTTTCTGGCTTTTCTATCGAAACAAATGGCATTTCTTGATGAATGTAGAGAGATCTCACTGTCATCTCAATTGTGGCATCTATTCGGCAATCAATATGCCTTAAAGACACTGCCATACTGCGTTTTCTGCTTGTAATACCCGCATCCAGCAGGGCAGGGGTACTCGTATAAATTAGATGGACGGCCTTAAAGTGTTGCAGAGCCAGATCCGCTGCCACAGGCGTACTCGTAGCACACTTACCAGCTGGAGTGCAAAAGCTGCCTGCGGAGTAGAGTCGCGTCGAAGGAAGGAACTGGGGATGTGTGGCAGTGTATAGGGCAGGGGAAAGAGTGGCACACAAAAAATGGCAATAATAATAACAATAAACCAGAGCCAGTAATAGGGATAATGCCGCAGAGTCGCAGCCAAGTGCAAGCTGTTGCATAATACGACTGACTTTCGCCTGAGACGACGACGACGACGACGACGACGGACTGGCCTGGGGCCTGGGGCCTGTCTTGGCCAGGACTCGACTGAGTGATGGCCCCGGCACTTGCCAATTGCCAAGCGGATTTTCCAGCTGAGAGCTTCGCAGCGGCAGGCAGCTCTGCAGCAGATCTGCTACCGAAGGGAAAGAGTATTGTGCAACGCAACGAAGAACTCGGAATCGGAGTCGGAGTCGGAGTCGTAGCCGGAGTCCAGCAGAGAAGAAGTGTCCATTCAAGCGTTCAAATTTTTAATCATAATATTTTAAACAATATAATTGCAAAACTAACAAAAGATGCCATAAGCATAAGCAAATGTGCAAAGGAGCATCAGCAGCAGAGGCAGCGGCAGCGAAATGATGATGAACAAATTGCCAATAATTCGGCATTCGAATTTGTGAAAATTGTGCAGCTGATTGAGTCGATTGTTCAATTGGATTTTTCGATTATGAACGCAGACCAGAGGAATTCCCAGAGCCAGAGGTAAATGCAAAATATGTAATGTGAAATTTGAGGAAATACAACCGAAACTGCCTCCACTTTCGGTTGAAATAAGGGGCTTTTTAGCATTCTGCTAAGTACACTTCAAAGTTCTTTTGTTCTATTGTTGGTCTCGAGTCTCTAGTCCTAGGAACCACCGATTAAGTCAAATATTTCAAGAGAAAGTGGGCCTTGCACCGTGTGATTTCTGTAGTCTCAGCCTTTGCAAAAGGCTTTCAGGTATTAAGCAGCCGGTAGGGCTAAGGAGTCATAAATGTACAGCTCTACCCAGATATGTAAACATTTCGTTGTTTTAAGCTGCGTGCCTTAGTCCATGGAGCCATCGAGTCCATCGGGTGGGCGTCCAACCGGGAAAGGTATTCGGGTATGGCTTGGAGAACGGCAATGCGGACATCAGCCAAAAGGATGAAGTTACGCTTCGGTAATGTGGAGGCCGAAGTGCAATTGATGGAGCCTATTTAGCACCATGATACCAGTGGATCCCTCAAAGACACATTTGTCTCCGGTGCAGTCGGTGAAGTTGCCTATATTACACCAGACCTATCCGGCCGAAATCCATCTCTTGACGCACGAAATTGTACTCCTGATCGAGGGATCCGCGCCACCACAGAGACGACAACAGCAACTCCCCTCGAGTTGCGGACAAAGAAAACCAGGACCAGAGCAGCCCTTTCTGTTTGTATCCAATTGAATCTCTTAAAGAGATTCAAGCAAAACGACCTCCAAGCAACCGACTCTCCCAAAGACTGGGAGAGCAGCTGTAGAGAGGAAACTAAGGCCTCCTTTTGGGTGTTGAACACAACCACTTTCACCACAAAACTAATATGTATGTATATAGGAGCCGTTTGGGAGGAATCGAGCCACAAACTCTGGCACACAAATGTATTTTTTGACCATCTCCAACGAGGTATGCAACATGAAACGAGGAACCAGACCACACAACCATTTTGGTCGACAGCTTTATTTTTAATGTACAATTTTAGGTGTGTACCGAGTACAAAAGGTGCTCAAAAATTTCAAAATCAAAGAAGTCTTGTGTCCGATTAAGTGCTTGGATCGTTGTTGGATAGGTGAACTGCTCTGTGCTAATCCGCACGCTGTTAACGCAGTAGATATTCCAGAGTGGCACCAAATAGCAGGTCAAAATGGCATAGCCGTATCCCCAGCGAGCACGGGTCAAAAAGAGAATATCGGCAAGAAGCACACTTTCGGACAGTAGCTCCCATCGATAGAGGAGCTCCGGCTTGTCCTGCACAAGAATAGAGAAACCGTGGCGTACTCAGGGCTGGCAGTGGTGGCCGGATGTGTGGGATCTTCAATGCTCACCCAAACAAGACCATATAGAAGGTAGTTCCATGCTACAAACATGACCAACTCCTTAGCGGTCCAGCACATATGCAGCATATTCTTGCTGGGGGTAATCCAATTTGTCTGGGGCCAGGAGATCGCCGACAGCTGCGGAATGGTTAATACAAACCTAATCTGCTTCAAGGTGTGTATCTGCGAACGAGATTCCCAATCAGCTTAGAATTTATCAAACCATTCGTTGATTGTTGTACTCACCCAGTTCGAGATGGCGACTGCGAGGACATACAAAAACAGTATCAGCTGCAATTGTCTATCCAAGGCGGCTTTGACGCCGTGCCATGTCGGTAATGTAAGCTGCCAAATCGTATAATGGTCGCGCACCGGGTATCCCCAGTCGAAATATGTACGCCATAAAATATAAAATTGCTTGACGAGTTCGCCTTCTTTTTGTTTCATGATTAAGAAGAAGATTAAGATTAAGAAAAAAATATATAGCTTGGGTTGCTTCTATTGGAATTATAGCAAACTGAACTAAAATATGGAACAACAAATTATTGAGTTATTTCAGCCTGCTTTCACCGATTTTTGAATAATTTGAATTTGTTCATGCTGTACCAGCAGCCCCGTACAGGTGCTTGCCCCATGTCATATACAGTCGAATTTCCACATAGCGATTCGTAATATGGAATTCGTTTTTTGAAATAAATTCTACACTTAGAAAACTTTGTTGTACGGAAGTTTGGAAGTGTGGTATATCAAGGACTATGCCATCTGCGACTGCGATTACAAATTCCTATACCTAATGCCTTCGCTTTGTCAAGTATGTGAAGATAGCCGGCTTGCAGCAGTCCGCTGGCAGTGCACTTTGAGTTCCGCACCAAACCCTCAACCATCCTATTCCCCGTGCGGAGAAGTATGAACCTCGTTCTCCAGTATGTTCTATTGTGATCAGGCCACTATGGACATTCAGCTTCATATTACTCTCTTTCAAACTATTCGGGTGCACTGCAGTGAAAGTCAAGCCTCATCGCCATTTTCATTCTCATTCCTTCACCGGCCATTTCCAAGTGAGTTGCATGTATAGCAATTGGATAGCCGGAAAATATGCTATGCTATATATTTTCATTTTTACCATAGCCAGCCGAAAAGTGTGCCACAAATAAATGAACAGCCTGAGTTACATTGCCGGTTGCCTCAACAGTTTCATAGCAGCCAGCTTTGATAGGTGCGCCTGCCTGTTAGCCACCCTCCCCTTCGAAGTTCGAACCAAACGGCTCGACATGTTCAGGCAACATGTTCGAGCGGCAGCAGGTTGGAATCCACGCTAGCTAGCATCCATATTGTGGATGGTAAATTCAAAGGAAAACGAAGTTCGTTTCTTTTTTTGTGTTTGCATTAAATCTTTATTTAATATTTGTGTTTTCGGTTTTTCAGTTTTATTTTTGTTGCTTTTCTTGGATTTCCGTTCGTTTAAATTATTCGTAGATTTAAAACGTTTTCCGGTTCGGGGGTTTTTCCATCGTAATTATTTGTAATAGGCATAACGTTACTTACAGTTTTCGCTTAAATTAATATAATAATTCATAATAATAATAATTATAATAATCATCAGAATAAAGTGTAAACTTTTCCTCTACTTTTTACTCTCTTTCTTTGCTTCTTTCTTTTCTATTCTTTTCTTTTCTCCTCTTTCTAAATGTGTGTTTCAATGTGGTTTTTCGGTTCGGTTTTCCATAGTTTTTATTTGTATTTTCATCTTTAGGGAGCCGCGTCGATGCGTTCGTTCTTTTGTTTATACGACGAGTATGTTTTCATAGTTTTTATAAAATATCACATTTTAAGCTTTTTTTTAAAGCAGGAAAACGAAAAGTTCTTAACCAAAGAGGCTGTTGGCAAAGCATAGCATATACTGGGGGAATACTGGGGGATGCAAGCAAAGCAAATGTTTGGCGACGGAGGGAGATAGACCCGAATAACGCAAGCAGCTGGATCCGTGGCGCCTCCCCATTCCCATTACCATTACCATTATCATTATATTTATCATATTTCTTTATCTATTTTTCTTCTTGGTTTCACATACATATATAATCTGACCTGTTTGTGCTAAAACATTTGCATTATTTTTACGATTTTTCCAATATTTTACGATCATCTCTTACGTAGTTCTTTCAATTCATTTCAATTCATTTCATTCGTTTTCTTTACTGGTTCAATATTTATTTAGACATTTAAAACTCTGCAAAGTGCAGTTTGGAATTTTAAAATTGTAGTTTCCATCTATGTATATGCATATGTATGTGTGTGTGTTTTGCGTGTGTGTGCGTGTGTCGTTCTGGCGAGAAGAGAGTGCCCCCTCTCGGATCTGCACTGTATCCCTATTGGGTTCATGGTTCCCCATTTTGCTATAATTTCACATACAATTTGCTTTACTTTGTGCTCCATCGCTCATTCATCTTCTGTATTTGCTTCTACTACATTCTTATTGTAATTCTTGAAGGGAAATATAGACTGTGGCAATGAAAGGACTGTGGCAGAGAGGAGACAGAGGATAGACAGCCCAAGTCAGGCTCTTAATTTGAGCGACATCCCAACGAGCGTGACCGTTTCACAGACACAAACGAGTGGGAACGCAAACCGGCGAGTGCGCTGACGAAGCGGCGAGTGATTGAAGGTGATTGAAAGTTTCTGGAAATGGATAGGAATACAAGTAGTTCCCTAAACGAAATACATAGGCAAATACGTAGGTAGATAGCCCTATCTATTGGCATGTTTGTGTGTATATACATATATATCCCATTTATCGTACGCACACAGATGTATGTATATGTAGGCATGTCTATTCATATGTTACATACATATATGCATTTTCTTAAGACACATTTTTCAATAAGTAAGTGGAACAACATCCAACGCCAACTGTTTTTTTTTTTTGTATTTTTTTCGGTTTTCGGTTTTTGCTTTGCTTTCGTTATTTTTTTTCTATTTCCTTTTCAACTACATTCACATAAATACACATTTATATTTTTTCCATTTTCTTGCGATTTTCTTTTAGTATTTTCATATGCATTTTCTGCCTTTTCGTACTCGAATCAAGACTCTTTAATGACAAATATTTTGCGGTTTCTTTCTTTGACTTTAAGCTTATTTCTCTTTAGTTTTTCTTGTGCTTCAATTAAATTGTTTATGTGTCAAATGTATTTACAATTCGTTCAACACTCAGATCTTAAAAGTACATACCACAAAAAAAAAAAACACCTGTTATTAAATATTCTTCTGTTTTATTAATTATAATATTATCATAGTTTATAATCCACAATTTTTACTCTATGTACAAGCATTGCTAGCGTATAAATAATAATAAAAAAAATAAAAAAATCGATTCGTATATATAGTTAAATGTATATATTTTCTGTATAGTATGGTTTATATGTATATATATATATACTCATATATATATATATGCTTATATGATCATCTTTTTAGACAACTTTTTGTGGTGCAATCTTCTAGATCTAGTTTCCACATTCATTTCAAAAAAATTCTCTCCTCATTCGCTCTTCTCGTATTTTTAGTTGGATGCGATTAAAAAAAAAAAATTGGCTTTTAATATATATATATATATATATATATTGTATATATGTACATGAATAAATTTATATATATATATATGTGTGTGTGTTTTTGTGTGCATGGGTATATATATATATATATATATAATCTATGTAGATACATTTATAGCGGTGCCAGATCTTCCAGATGGTTAATAATACATATATTTTGAATATATATATTGATCAATTCTGTGCTTAATAACGATTAAAGATCTAAAATGTTCATCAGCCCCCACATATCCAGGAAAAAACATCGATATACATCTATTCAACATACAACATCGTTATCGTAATCGGCTATCGTTATTATCGCTTATCGTTAATCGCATGCAATCAGGGAGGGGGCAGTTCTCTGTTCTTTCCATTTCTTTCCGTACGCAATGCGTTTCCATTCTGTAGTTACTTTTGTTTAATAGGTACCTTGCGTTCCATTCATTCATTCATTCGCTCATTCATTCCATTCCATTCCATTCCATTCCAATCCCCTCCCACCTCCCGAGTCCCCGTCCCCCCTTACAACATGTCTGTGAGTGAGTCACATTGCTGATCCTGGAATATCGGGCGGCAACACTCCTCGACGGCATCGTATTTGTAGTAGCGTCGACGACTCCTCTGGCCGACAGTGTGACCGTAGTAACGTTGCTTCTGATTTCTGGCATATCTCTGATACTCTACTAGCTCCTGACCACCCTCCGGATCGTCGTGATCACCCGCCTCCACCTCCTTAGCGTCAGCCTCGTTTTCGACAAGCTCGAAAGGATATTTGGGATCTTTGTGTAGGGCATAGCGACTACCGGCCAGCTGCAATGATGATGAGGACGATGACGTTGACGCTGACGATGTCAACGGCTGATGCTGATGTTGGCCGCTGCTTCTGCTTCGGCTTCGGCTGCTGCTGCTAATGCTAATGCTGTTGCTGTTGCTGTTGCTGTTGTTGCTGCTGCTGCTGCTGGGCTGGTGGTAATAGTGGATGGCATGGCATGAGGCAGTCTTTGAATTGTATTCCTGAAAAACGAACAGAAGACAGTGAAACGAATATCATTAGCAAAATCCATAGGATATACAAATATTAGTTTTAATTTTAAAGAAATTATAAGATCCATCCATCTTCCATCGGTAGATCTCCGACTGTTCTTCTGTTTTATGGTTTTTATGGTTCAACCAGTCCTGGGTACTTCTGGGGTCCTTCGGTCAAGTCAAGCAATTGACTTTTGGCAGCTTCTTCTTTTATTTTGCCCCTGCCACTGCCCCTGCCCCTGCCCCTGCTGCTGACACCAACTGGAATATTGTCTGCTTTGAAATTTGTTGCACAAATTGTGGCAACAAATTTTGTGTGTTGCTGCCGCTTTTGGCGCACTGCCTCGACATCTGTGTCCATGCGGCCATGTGGGTGCATGTGTGTGTGTGTGTGTGTGTGTGTGTGTAAATAACCAACATAATGGCAGAAAGGTCGCATTCTCATAAAGTTGGCGCTGACTTCCAGTTGGTATCCTCTGCTCCTGCCTGCCTGCCTGCCGCACCCTCATCTCTCTCTCTTCCTGTTCTTCCTCGCATATTATCAATAAATTGCATCTGACTGCCGGAGCAGCAGACAACAAAACGGTAGCCCCGTGGCCCACCCTCACACCGCACCACACACCACCACCTGCCTAACCCGTTATTAAGTGAGCCTCGTTGTATAGCGAAACACTGAGAGAAATTGCATCAAGCTTTTAGCAGGCTGACACCAGGTTGTTTCCCTTTCCCCAAGGCTCGCATCACTCAGAGATTATCCAGCGGAAAAATACATGTCGTGTGCATGACGAGGCACTGATGTTTCAGAGAAGATTCTCGTAGGATTTCTGTCCCCCAAGATACACAAAATTAACCGTTTGTATCTAAAAACAAAAGTATCTGCATCTGTGGTCTTGAAGACATACTTTTCTTGCGGTTTGAAGGCCATTCGCCATCAGTTTCCTTCCTGTTTTCATACATCTATTTGCTCAGTGTTGGCGGATGATGGGTTTGGTTTTTTGGGTGGCGGATTTGGGGCTGGGTGGCTGGGTGCTGTCGTACCGCACCTTGGTCTAATTTATTTATTGTTGCATGCATGTACTTTTATTGGGTGCCCATCTCTTGGGCACCCTCCCCAACTGTTGACCGCAATATTGCTGCTGGGAAGCCCTACCATCTGCCTCTACCTCTGCCACTGCCACTGCCTCTGCCACTGCCACTGCCTGGACTTTAACAATTATGTTTTTTGGGGTTCGGTCAAAGTCAACACTGGAAAAAGGCTGACAATTTGATGCACTTGTCGCCCCCCAAATGGGCACAAATTTGGTGGCAAAAACGAAGGGGGGGGATGGCTGGAATTTTAAGCCTCAGCTAAAAGGCAGACACGAGGAGTTTTGAAAGCGGCTTAAACGCACGGGCCAAATGTATTTTGGAATAGCCCGTGAAACATGCAGAGAGCACTAATATCCACCTACCCCCGCCACCCCCGCCACCACCGCCACCTCCGCCACGCAACAGTTGTACCCTTTTTGCCTTTTCCATTTTCATATACTTCGTTTATGTATTTTTCGTTGTTGTTGCAAGTTTATTGATGTCGACGTGAGTTTTTCATGCCTCGACAGACAGGAGGCGAGGTGGAGGCAGGGGCCAGTCTCGTCTGCAACGTGACAAAACCCATTATAGATGCGACCGCAAAGATAACACTCGATGGCTTTCTGGCTCGGGCCCGGGCTCGGACCAGCCAAAGGTCCAGGGTAGTGCCCCCCCCCCTCGACAAAAGGAGAGAGAGAAAGAGGCCGACAGAGAGCGAGCAAAGGTGAGAGTTGGTTCTTTTTTGAGGGCACATAAATTTCATTTTGCAAACCATCAAAAAGTTAAGTCAACGATAAATTGAATGGCTGCATGATTGACTGAATGAATGAATGAATGAATGAATGAAAGAATGAAGGGGACTGTCTGCTACTGCTGCTGCTGCTGCGGCGGCTGTCAGTTGCTTTTCGGTCATTGTGTGCCTCGTTGCGTTTTCACAGACATCAAAATCCACATAAAAATAAAGACACAGAGAGCAACAGAGAGAGACGGAGAGAGAAAGAGACAAATGCATATGCAGGGGGGGGGGGGGGGGTCTGTCTCTTTGTGTAAAAACCTTCAATATAAATATAAAAACCATCAACACAGCCACACAACAACAATGCCAAAAAGTCAAAAGCCGTCAAAAAGCGTTATTGAACCAGCGTGGAGCGGGGGGCCAGGGTTTGGGAGGGGGGCAGGGGTTGGCACCTTTCATATAAAAAAGCGTCCTTTGCTCTCCTTTCTGTCTGTCTCTCTATATTGGGCGTTTATTTTTTTTTTTTTGCAGCAAGGCGTGGCATGGACATGTGACATGTGTGCCACATCCCCCCCACCCCTACCCCTCCCCCTCCGCCCAGACCTCTCTGACAATGTCATGGCAACACCTTTCCCCCAGCAAAGGGGAGCCCCGACAATAGTGCGGAAATATTAAATCTGCGCTTCACGAAAAAAAAAAACGGAAAGAAAAACTCGAGGAAGTAAAAATATTTCGAAAATATCCAACACCTGTGGGTTGTGAAGCAGGGCAGGGGGGCGGCACTGGTTGGGTGGGGGGAGGATAATGGGCGTGTTTCAATTTTTATATAAACTGCAATAAACATGAATTGGGTCGTAAGCAGCAGAAGCATTCAGGGGGCAGTCCCCGCCGGCCCCCCACGCAGGAAGACCAGAGTTAATACTGATTATGTCCCTGTTGGATGTTGGATGTTGGGCGGATGTCAGCGGGGAGGTGGAGTGGATGGATGCTATGGATATAATGGATCATTTTGAGCGAGAGAGGAAACAGGAGTTTTACGGCTGGTATTATGCGGCCAAAAGGATAAAGGCAAAACGTTAGATTTAGTGACTAAAGATAGGGCCTAATCAAGTGGCTTGGGCAGTGTTTAATCGAAATTTCAATGAGGTTTGAGGTTTGGGGCAGGAAATGGTAAAGCCCTGCTTGGTTGGGACTACTCTGAACGGTCCTCAGGCATTGTATGGGTCTCAATTATGCCGCTGTTTGCTTATGAAATTGGTTCAAAGGTCACACTCTAGAAATTAAGCAAAACTAAAGCCAAGCCAAGGGCCAAAGTCCGACCAAAGTACACGCATACTCGTACTTTATCAGAGATTAGTTAAGGTCGTAGGGCATTGGGTCAGCCACCTCCTAGCTCCCCTGCCGTCATAAATGTCATGCAACAAGAAATCGTTGCCTACTTTCCAGCGCCCGGTGCTGTGGCAAAAGTATTGCCTGCTTTTTGGGGCGGCCCTCGTTCGACTGCACTTAAAGGCTGTGTGTTGTTCCAAGGCGTTTTAGGGGCGGGGGCGGGGGCGGGGGCGACTACTGGGGCTGGTTGTTGTGCAGTGAAATTTCTGACAGGTCATAAATTGGCACAATGGGTGGCCGGGCCGGGCTGGGCGGTGCTGGCTTCCAAAAAACCACCCACCTTCGGTGGAATGCAATCCGTCGCTCTGCTGGTGGGACCAAGCCCGAGCCCAAGCCCGAGCCCGAGCCCGAGCCCAAGTCAAACAACATTCCAGCGTATGTACACGCATTGCGATGACCATGGAGGGACTCCCGTTGTTGTGGCTGTCGGCCGGCTCTTCAGCAACGGAAAAACCAAAACAGAAAGCCCAAAACCCGAAACCGTAACGAAAACGCATTCCCCAACCCCATTCGCCCCCTCCCCCTCCACCCACTAAAATAAAAGCGCCTGCACAAATAAAGGTGTGAAGCACCAACAGAGCGACAACACGCTGCCGCCTCCTCCTTTCATACAAAAACACACCGTATACGAGGCGTATATGTACATATTTTTTGTACAGTTAATGAAGCGACCCAAGGACCAAACGACAAGCGAATGGCCGAAACCAAAGTATGATAAAACAACGGCAATGCGAAAACAAGAAAGGAACAACTGAATGGGCCAAGAGTTCGAAGGCGAGAGTACCCTTTTCTCGTTCGTATAGCCCTTGCGATCTATCTGCAAGAACATTTAGTCATCCGCTGTCTCTGGAGGGCATCATACCCCAACCCTCGTGAAAAGGGTATCGAAAGAACAACCGCACAGGGCGCACACCTCTTGCCTCGTTTGTTTATTAGCCACGTCCATGGGGTCCTCTCACAGAAGCAACAAAATGGCCGCCGCCGACGCGCTTAATTGTGCGGCCAGCAACCGGAAACGGAAACTGATTGTGCGGTCTGGCAGGGCGCCCACTCCTCATTCGGGGCTCTTCCCTCTTGCGATTTTCTACAAATCTCATTCACATTACGAGCGAGCGAGGCCAGGCCGCGATTTTGCTGGCGTTTTTAGTCGCGCTGGCGCTGGCGCTGGCGCTGGCGGCTTTCCAATCAACGCATTTGACATTTCGCTCACTCGTGCCCCGTGCCCCCTGCAGCACTGCTTGCCACACATTGATTAAGCAAAGGGAAAAGAGAAAGAGGGGGAGCGGGGAGCGGGGAACGGGGAGGGGCAGTGGAAGGAAGGCCTACGTCAATCGGTTTGTTTGTTTGCCAAAAAAGAACAAAAATTGACTTTGAGATTCTATTTCTCTCTCGCTCTCCCTCTGCCTCTCCCTCTCGTATGTGTTTGCTGTTTTGTTTTTTAGTTCGTTTTGTGCCCTGATTGATGGGCTTAGATAAGGTGGAGGGGGGCTGGTGGTGGAGGGGTAGGGGACTGTCGTTTGCATTTAACAGTTGATATCCCTCCTCCTCTTCCAGCGCCAGCGCCAGCGCCAGCGGCAGAAAGGACAACGAAATCGCGTTCAATTGAAGCTGCTCCACATCTCTTTCTCTCCCTCTCTCAGTTTTTTTCTCTCTCGTAATTGATGTGTCTGCGTTGCGTTTTGCCCCCGCCCCCTTGCCCAGCCATTCTGCCATTTTTTCCCATTTCTCATTCCACTAGAGAAGAGAGCGACAGCATGGGAGATTGGTCCAAGAGCTGCACATCTCTATTATAACT